AAGCCTGAAGGATCATGTACACACACCTTTAGCCACCTTTCAATCGATGCTTATTGATTTTGATATCACAATGAAATATATTATTTTCCCTGCGCTGGCCACTCTCGATCCTTTTCTTCCTCCATCCCTCTCTTTTCCGTCTAATGTAATCAAGAACCAAAACTGTTCCATGTTCCTCCAACTGAATCAAATTGACCTGCCTCTTGAGTACGCGTCAGGTGCAGGTGTGTGAGTGTGTATGCATGTGCTAATGTGTAGTCGGTGCTAATGTCGGTCGGTCTGTCTGTCTGTCTGTCTGTCTGTCTGTCTGTCGGTCGGTCGGTCGGTCGGTCGGTCGGTCGGTCCATTTGTCTTTATCTTACAGTCCATATTGTTACAGACTGTAAAATGGTACATTTTTACAGTATTTTAAATAAATTATTTTTAAACCTTATTTTAAATTATAATTGTGTGTTTGACAGGAAAATTTGCATGCACATGGTTATAGAGGCTTGTGTGTCTCTCAGGTGTATGTTCTAATGTGTGTCTGTGTGCAAGTGAGAATGTTTGTAAAGAGTGTGAGTGTGTGTGCATGCTAATGTTTTTCTCTGTGTGTATGTGTGTGTGCGTGTTTGTGTGTATGTGAAGTGATTGTTTGTTTGTATACAGCTTCAGTTTTTTCCATCACTAGGTCTATTATGTCTTGAATTTGATATTGATCTGATTTGATATGATGTCAATATGGTATTGACTTCAAGTCCTTTTCCTATTGGAAGAGGTGAGTGTATTCATACATATGAATAAAACCATAATTAAATAAGCTTTTGGCAATTGTCATTTCAAGTTAAAATGAAAAAGAAAATCAAAACAATTCTTACTTTAATAACTAGTGACGCTCATTACTGTTGAAATTGTGTATTGTTACACATCATAATTTTATGCACAAGGGATAGATTAATGAACAGATTAATCAGCTAATGGTTAGAGAGAGAGCAAGGCTTTTTTTTTCACAATGTCTGTGTGGTAAGAGATCTCACACACAAAAACACATCAGTGGAGTGTAGTTGATTTTCGAAATGGATTTGGGTTTTTAGCTCAATGTAGATCCATCTGATGTTTACAGTTTCCAGGAGTATGCAACAACATTTACCTTACACTTATCAACAAGCAACCAATAATATATTTTATATGCTTATATTAACATACTATAAAAAAAACAAGGTCATTCTTATATGACCAAAATGGATGATGTCCAGGCGAGTTGTGTTGTAGTGTAGCGAATCAGCTCATGGGGAAATATGAATAATTAATCATAACTAGTTATAATTAATTATAAATATTTAGATCCGCTGTAGATATTTACTTGACCTCTCAGGGTCAACTGTCTGTCAATTCTAAGAACGTTAATTTCCTGGTTAAGGGAAATAACTTTCTTACTGTACAACTCTACACAGAGCCTGTAGCATAAATCTGCAGTTATGAGCAAACAATGACCAACGTCAAGTGTGATACAAGTAAGACTTTATTGAAAAATTGTGTGTTTGATTGGTCCAGACGCTACAGTAGTTATAGTATAAATATTGTAATTATTCTGTTCATTTTCAGTTTGACTCATTCAGGCCGATCTGTGGACTGGTTGCATATAACTCATTGATAGTCGTATGGAGGCCTCCTGTCAAGGTAAGCTGCCTCCCTCTGAAACTTTATCCAGCGGTGTCGCTCTTATTTATTATTTTATATTTATATGTTATTTTAAATATATTATTTATTTTTGTCCTGAGTGAAAGGGGAGTCTGTTTCCCTTTCCCCCTCGGAGAAAACACCCCTGACACACACATGCTTGTATTGATTTGCCACCGTTCTGTCACTGCGTGTCTGTGCCGTACATCTCTTAGCTACAAATCATGATTCAGAACAGGATCGGTACACACAAAGACACCTGCGCAGAGACTCAGTGGTGTCAGTGGGAGGTGTGTCGTCTTAAGCTAACCTCCGCCCTTCGGGATATGACACTGGAAGGCAAAGTAGGATTATCTTTTCTTTCAGATCTTCTGTTGCAAAGCCTGAACAAAATAGCAGCTGAAGATAAATGGTTTAATCAGAACAGACAGTCCAATGTTTGATACACATTTCTGTGTTACCGTTTTCATGTGCACTTTGGAGGTGACGCAGTCACATGTAGGCAAATGGGGAGGTTAGTTTAACATTGACAGGGATGTATGGAATTAGATAAGAATACTGTGTCATAATTCTTTTTTTTTTTTTCTTCTTCTTTTTTTAATAACCATTGCTGTTTCTGGAGGTTATGGTTGGTTGCTAGGATGTTGCTAGTTTTTTTTCAAGTTCAAAAGTTACAAAAAAAAAATCTATTTCAAATAATTTCTGTTCTTTTGATCTTTCTATTCATAAAAATCCACAAAAAAAAGTATCAGTTTCCAAAAAACAATAAATAAATAAAAGAAAAAATATTAAGAAGGACAACCATTTTTCAACATTGATAATAATAAGAAATGTTTCTTGAGCTCCAAATGAGCATATTAGCATGATTGTATGGACCATGTAACACTGAAGACTGGACTAATGGCTGCTGAAAATTACATCACAGGAATCAATTACATTTTTAATATATTAAAATAGAAAACTGTTATTTTAAATTGTAATAAAAAAATCACAATATTATAATGTTTTTGATCAAATAAATGCAGTACTAGTGAGCATAAAAGACTTTCAAAATCATTGAAAACGTTTTACTGACCTCAAATCTCATTAACTGATATTAAGAATCTCTTAAAATTAAAATTTAGTGAGTATAATATAGATAGTGTTAGAAAAATAATATTATTTTTGTATTTTCTTGGGACAAAAGTCTTCTTACACAATTTTGCATCTCAAGTAAATTTATCGTTTTTCGGTTTGCATCTCAAGTGAATTGATCTTGTTTAGGGAAATAGATATTTTAAGACAAAAACACAAATTAGGATAATCCACCAATAAACAATTAGAACCTCCGGACTACATCACTGAAGTGTGATTGTGTACGAGTGCTTTCACAGCTTCATTGTCGGTGTTGTGTTTTGGTCGGAATGACACTTGCCAGCCATGTAAAAATTATTGTGACGGGTGAGTGTCAGAGTCAGCATTTTTTTCCCTCTCTGTTCTCTCCTCCTTCCTCCCTCCTGCTGTTTAATCCATCCAGCTGCTGTCACGGCAGGGGAGCAGCCAATCTATCACACCATCGAGACACATTCTTCTCACCTGCTCTGCGCCGGCACCGTGCCGTACCGGCCCTTTAATGAACAGCCAACATGATCCCAGCTGACAAGCAGGAAATGGATGCAATAAAGATTGTTTCTGCATGCTCTTTGCATTCCTGATAAATCACCTTACTGTTCGACAGACACCAGCCAGCGCCGCACACAAATCTGATTTCACGCCGAGGGAGAGACACTGAGGGAAGGGGCATCGGGCCAAGAGGGGTCAGTTCAATTTAAATGCAGACTGGCTCAGACACGGAGCCCATGCAACCGCTGATTGCATGTGTGTGTGTGGTGGGAAGCCCTGTGTGATGGACCCGTGACACACCTCGCACCTCACATCATTTCTTTGGACGCAGCGGGCGGCAGCTCGCATACACCTGCAGCTTGAAGTCCAGGTGAGGGGGTTTATCAGTCAAGCAGACCTGCTCTGTCCGCCAGAACGCTTTACTCTCTGCAGCTCTGCAGATGATACAGTCACACGTCGGCCCTGCAACCTTGGACACTGCACTGTAATGAAAGATGAAAGCAGGAGAGGCGCACGAAGGGCGGAGAGAACAGGGAGGGGGGCGTGAGGTGTGGGGATGTAGTGAGAGATGAGGAAGAGATGCAGATCTCTGGGCGGGTAATTTGCGATCTAATCTTATGCAGCCCGTGCCTGCTGTAAGTCAGAGTAGGGAGAGAGAGAGAGAAGTGGTGTCTAAAGAAGTAAGGTTGTGGAGTCTCTGAATCTTGAAGCTGAAAGGTTTAAATGGATAGTGGAGCCTGAGAATGAGTCATTAACTCTTTTAAATGTAGCGAACTAAGCTGTTTAGTGTAGGTGCTAAACAACTCACTGTGTATTTTTAGTTCCTAACCTTCCATGAAGTCAATATGAATTCAAAATTGAACCTATTTACTTCCTTAATGCTTGTTCTGTGTATCAAAGTGTAGCTAATAACTTGCTCTGCCTTTGAAACGAATTTCCTTTTCAGCTGACATCATAAAGTTCTCTTATTTTTTAACCCCTCCCCTCCAATCATGCATGATTTATACAGTAGAAATGTTTTAAGATCCAGCCAGTTGGATTTTAATTATATAGGATATATATATATATATATATATATATATATAACATACAATTCAAATTGTTCCTGGATGTTTCTGCTCTATTTGTCAATAGTTTAATAGTTCACAATAATATTTCACTAAATTTCATTTTTTTAAATTTATTTTAAATTATTTTTTATACAATTCATGATTTTTGAAAAACTTAGTTCATAATCGTCCCCCATTTTATTCATAATGAAAAATATTTTTAAAAATTGTTTTATATTAAAATTGAAATTTAAAAAAATGTTCAAATTCCCTCAATTTCCCCCTAAATTGTCTTTGTAAACTTTTTAGTCCTAACATTAAAAATGCAATTTTTTTTTACAAAATCATAATTTTTTTCAATCTTTCTTCAAATTTCATAATGTATGCATTTATATTTATGTTTTTCATATTTTTTGTAATCTTCCCTCAGTTTGTTATATTTATTTATTTATTTAGCTTGTTTTTCAAAATTGTATTTGTAACCTTCCCTCAAAGTTTCATAATTAAAAAAAAAAAAAGT